TATATATATATATATATATAGTATGTATATATTAGAATCTTGGAATAGTTTCTTATACATTTTGTTTCTTTTTACAACAACAATTGTTATGTTGCCTTTTTATTTTTATTTTTAATTAAGAAATTTCAAAGTTGTGCCAGACACATTTTGGATATCAGGAAAGACTATCCATAGTCAAGAAAAGTAACAGGATCAGCATTCACACAGCATTTCTAGCTCTCAATAACTGCAGCTCAAGAAAACTAGATAGGGTGTTTCAGGCTTAATAGCCGTAGTTTAACTGGACTTGACTCCCATTTGTATATTAATATAGAGCTGGGCATATGTTAGTGATTTCCACACGCATGCACTTCAACACACACTCACAAACATACACAGGCGCATATAAATGTACATCCGATAACTTAAAAAAGACACAAAAGAATGCACACTTTTCAGGTAGGAGTAAACAAAACTTCTTAAAACAAGGCACATCCTTTGATTTTCAATAAAACTGTAAAAAAAAAATGGCAAAAAAAATCCATATAACATAATGTTTTGCACGCTTTGAAAAAAGAAAAAGATAAACTACCTTTTTAAACATTGTGCTACTTTTTTTAAAATGACCTCACAAGACAAACAGCTTATTATAAGTCTAATAGTCAAGCTAAACTCCAGTTCTTTCAATCTTATATTTTAAAACTGTTCAATATACAATTGATAATATTTTAAAATCTTTTTTTAATATATATTAAACTCCTTTCCTTCTTTTGTTATTTATCTCTGGGGGAAACTCCACTTAAATAGTTTATTTTTCCAATAAATACTTTTTTTATATAGCTTTTTTTTTCTTCATCCCTTTCATTACCTTCCAAAGGAAAAGCTATGTCAGTCTCTGCACACATAAGAACATTCCTTCCACGGCTGTCTCAGGAGGAGAGCTCTACCAGTGAAATAATAAAAGAAACGGCACCACATCTCAACACTACTCTTTTAAGGTGGAAAAAGCTTCATGACGTCTCTCAAAAAAAGGTAGCTCTACCAGAAGATGACGAAGAGTTCTCCTGAGATCTTACTCCAAGCCCATGGGTTGAAATCCATGAGTGGGGAGTGTAGCAAGCCGAAGGGAGATTGCCTCCGTTGCTTTGGGCTGCTTTATTCTGGAGTCTTTTGCCAGATGGAGAGACGGGAAGAATAGATGAAGAGGAAGGAACCCAGCATGTCAATGATCACATAAGCGAAGGACGGGTCCCATTTTGGAGCTTGGGCTGCCAGTCAAGAAGACGAAACTGATTTTCTAAGAGAAGATGAAGTTGTGGTAGCCCCATGCGCAAGTGGTGTTCCTATCGCTGGTATTTTTCCGCATGGCTGAAAACAGCCATAAGAGGGTGAGATGCCACCTGCTCAAGAACCCCACCCACACCATGTTGTTTGAGCCACACCATGTTGTTTGAGGAGAGTCTGCAAGACAAAGCTCCCAAGTTCTCACTGAGCATGGTAGCTCTTGCTTTTTGTTTTCCTTTATTGCCAGGTGACTTGATAAAGCAAAACCAAAACACAGCGGAGTGAAATGTGCAGGGAACCGAGAACGCAGCAGCAAGGGAGTGCTGAGATCTACACCAGGTAAGAAGAAGGAGAGGGGAAAGGTGAGGGCTCCAATCCGATGATCAAAATGGATGCCCTGCAAATCAGACGGCAGGAGTGCGAAGAGAGGAGGCCGTGGCATTTCCCCTCTCATCCTCCAAAGAAGCTCCATTGATTCCCAGCTGGAGATTGTCGCCCCGTAAACTCTCCATTCCCAGAAGATAAGACGTTCAGGGAAAAGAGCCTTAAGCTAGCTAGCACCTCGGTACTTTCATCCATGGGAAAGGACAATGATTCGAGTGATGATTCTGGTCTCAGAGGCATAACTTATGAAATATGACTACAGTTATTCTGAAGTACAAAAACAGCACGAGGGAGAGAAATACAACCAGCTGAAAACATTTAAAAGCCAGTTTAGGCTAAAGATTAGGAAACGCATTCTAAGAGTCAAAAATAAGTAGGCACTGGCAAAATTCCTTCTGAGTACTTGGGGGAATTTCCTTTGATGGAGCTTTGTAGGCAAAGGAGTCATTTGGAAATAGCAGTCAAAGGGTTAAGAATGCTCCCACTGACCTTGGACAAAGGACAATGTGTCTTGGACACTTGCCCCAAAGCCTTAAAAACAGAGGATGCTCCTGTGGGCACAAGGTTTAGAGAGCCCAGCAAATTGTTCAAGTAAGATGACTTACCTTTCCTCGTTAAATGCTGTTTCTTGCCATCGCAACGCAACCCAAAAAAAAACCCTTCAGGACATTTTATAAATTCCACAAGAAGGAAGACCAAGGGAAGCTGATGTGGAGCAGCTCACTGAGAACATGGCCGGAGGGCGATCTGAGCCTTCCCATGCGACTTGACGAAGCCAGGAGATCCCGAGAAGCTCATCTGCCAGAAGTGGGAGCCAGACAGAGTGCGTCCCTAACTGCAAGCATTCAAGCATTCCTCTTGCAGTTGAGGGTCTCCCCTATTTCCTTATCAAGACCCTTCCAATTCGCAAGTGGAATAAACCAAAGGAAACCTGAGGACAGCAGACAGCTCCAAACTGACAGAAGGCTCTGTTCTTCCGTCACTAGGATGTTTCCTCATTCTACGAAGCCTCAAGGCGGATGAAGATAGAAAATGAATTGGCCATGATACCAAGTGGTGGTGCTTTCACTGCCTGGGAAGTCACGAAAAGCTGCCCAACCTATCCAGAAGATGGAGAAGGGAGATGCCCCTTTCTGGAAAGAAAGAACAGTGCTACACTCGGTAGGATTCCTCCTCTCAAAGAAGCCCTTTCCTAACTGATTGCTGGCAGATCCCTCGCAGGATCAATCAGGGCAAGAGCTGCGGCTCAAGTGTCAGCCATGAGCCAGAAGCACAAGACATTTCTAGCCAATGGTTACAATCCATTCAACCTCGGCTGAACCTCCTTCAATTGGCACTTTCGAAACGGCAGGTGTAATACCAAGAGACAACGCCTCTCTTCCATTAAACCTCACCCAGAATACAGAACCATCCTGGCCCTCGGTTTCCAGAACATGGAGATGGTTTATTGTCTCTCTGTCCACTGTCTGGTCAATGATGTCTTCTCCAACCCATGCTCCCAATGGTTGTGGCAGGTTAAGAAGGCTAAACGGTTCAATCGGTGGCGAACTCTTTGGGACAGAAGTGCCTTAGAGCAATAGAAAGTGCAGGGCAAGTCCCTGTGCTCAGAACTGCCTCAAGAGAGAGGGGTTAAAAAGAGAGAGAGAGAGAGAGAGAGAGAGAGAGAGATTTGCCATCCATCTTTGGCAGCCGCAGAAGCCACCTGTGGGCTTATGTACAAGGAGATTTTGGCCAGGATGCTTTTACCCCACCCACCCGCCACCCAAGTTTTTATTTTCTTTTCATATTTCAACACTTTTATCGATCATGCAAACATACCAAAGCTTTTTGCACAGCTTTTGCCAGGAACGATGCTTTCCAAGGCAAACCAACAGAAAAAAAGAGCTTGTATCTCAAAGGGGAACGTGTTAACAAAACGAAACTTCTTACAGTCACAGCTTCATCATCACCAGGAGAAGACAAACACCTTCAGGACAAAGAAACGAAGCATGCAGCTTGCTGAAGGTTCCCCCGCCCCACCCCCAACCCGACTCACAGGTTCCCCCAAGCCTTCCTTCCATGGCTGCCTCTACCAGCATCTCCAGCAGTGGCAGATGGGCGCATGAGTTGGGCATAGAAGGAAGCGCGGTGTGCAGTCCAGAAACACCCAACACAGAAGGCAAAATAGTCATTGCTAAGACGAGATTTTTCACCCCAAACGGAAAACATGAAGAACCGGAGAAGACTAATACTTATTTTGTGCCACATACTTTGATAGTGTATTGGGACAGTAACAACTCAGGATTGAATCTGGAGAGAGGGGAAAGGAATCCACTTTGGAGTGGATGGAGTAGCTTCGCCTGGAAAACTCTGCTGAAGAAAGTGTGAAGCTTACTTTCTCCCGTTGCCATGGAAGCGCTGCCCATCCCAGGCCGCCCTGACATCCGACTCCGCTGCAGGAGGAGAACTGCAGTCAGGCTGTGATCTCTAAGGTCAAACGGGTGTTTGGAAGGGATGGGAGAAGAAACCCAAATGTGGTTCCTCTCTTCGCTTTGCAAAACAGGTCCCGAGGAAAGCCTTTCTCAAGCATCTCAGTTTGTTTCAACACAATCCTGAGGTAACCTTGTCTTCTTTGTGCAAACCTCAAAAAATGGAGGAGGGAAGATCTTCATGGAGGTGATTGTGCCCTTGTGCCCATGGCAGATCCTGAGGTTGGCCCGGACTGTTCTCCAGCTCTCATTCCAACATGGCATCTAGCTGGTCAGCAAGATCATCAAACATGCTGCCGATGTCGTCCAGGATGCTGACGGTACTCTTGGATTCTGCAGTGGAACTGAAGGCAAGAGACATCAGTGAGGTTAAGACGATCCCAATTCCTCTACAACAGAGGTGTCAGATTCAAGGTCAAGCGTGCGGGGTGCTTAGATCTGGCCCACGGGACCACCCTGGAAACAGCAAGGGGCCAGCTGTGCCTCTGCCAGCAAAAATGGAGCTTGGGAGGGGCACACACGGCTGTTCCAGGCTTCATTTTTGGCCACAACAGCCTCCTGCAGCCCTCTGAATGAAAACAGAGAAACGGCAGAGCACTGGGATCACAGGTGCTGCCAACACAAGTGATGTCATGCTGCCACATCCCCTGGCCATGCCCATCACAGCCCCACGAGATCAAACAAAACCCTGATGCGGCCCTCAATGAAATTGAGTTTGACACCCCTGCTCTACAAAACCCTTGCCTTTACTACAGCTTTCTAATACTTCTATCCTCTGGTTACTTAAATCTGAGCATATAAAACCGCAGTAAATTCACCCTGCCTTTCTCCTGTTTTGGTCTCTTTCATCCTTTTTGCTAAATACTTTTGTTCCCGAGTGGACAACTCATAGAACACAGCCAGCAGTGGCTGTTTCACCCAGCCTGTCTGGTCTGCTGGACTTTCTGCACGCTTTCTAGCTCCTTGACTATCTCTGGCCTTCCCCACCCCTTCCTACCCTCAGGAGTGCCTTACTCTGCTGCTTGTCCATCCTCTTGCTTGATCTTCTCCTCCACCGCTTGCAGAGCAGCAGCCAGAGAAGCGCTGGTCTCCTCCAGTTTCTGATGCACGCTCTCGGTGCTCTCCACTGAGGGCCCAGCCATGGAGGAGCGAGGTGGCTTGACTGGCACTGTCTGTTGAGGCTGCCCTCCAGGGGACAAAGGCTTAGCTGGGCTGGAGCAGAGGGAAGGAGGTGTGCTTGAAGGCTTGATGGTGGGGGTGAGCTGCTTGGCCGGTGAAGGTGCTGGTGTGCAGCTGGCACTGACTGATTGGAGGACAGGATGGACCTTCGGCTTTGGAGCAGTTGGGGGTGGTATAGGCTTTGGAGATGTGGGTGGTGGGGTCCCATGGACACGTTTCACCTCTGCAAGAGACAAACAGGACATACCATGACCTCTGTTCGAGGAAGTGGCCATAACATGGAGATTCTACTTGGCAGGGCTGCTTCTAATGTCCTCCATCGTTAGGAAGACAGTCCAGCTGTTACTAGAACTGGATTCAATGAATATTAAAAAGGATAACAAAAAAGATCCCCCTTCCATTCAGCAACTAGAAAATATTAGCACACAAGTTTGCAGTTTCAGGCACACAACTCCTCTCCAGCCTGATTCCCAGAGTACCCCCCCCCCTATATATATACACACACAATCTCCCAAGTGCTGCCCAACATTTCTTTGTGAGCAACCTATTAGTACCTAGATATGTACATAGATAAAGAAGCCCCTTGGCAGCCCCTTGGAGCACAGAGAAGAAGCTGTGAAGCCCCCACCCGCTAAAAACCATGCTCTCTGGATTCCCCAGGAAGAGGTTTTACCTGGGCTGCCAGGGCCCGGAATCGGAGCTCTTTTGGTGGTTGGTGTGGAAGGCCCTGAGGTTTTGGGCGGCAAGATGGGCTTGGGAGAGACAGGAGGCTTGATGGGCTTCTTAGTTTCTTCGCGGGGGATCTGAACCGAAGCCCCTCCCCCTCTCTCTTGCTGCTCTGGGGGGGCCACAGCCTCCAGGCTACTCATCTCAGAGGTCGGCCGGCGCTTGACCGTGCCCATGCCATTGTGATACACTGAGAGCTGGGCCAGCTCCTGCTCCTTGTCTTTCGACTTTGGCCGCCTCTTCACCGTATCTGATTCTGTGAGGATGAACTTGATATTGTCCTGTTGACACTGCTTTGCCCGGATCCTCCGCTTGAGAGTGGCACTGGCCTCCACTCTGGAAAGGTCGCTGTGCCTATGACCTAGGGAGAAGCCTTCCCCGCCTTCGGCCTTGGCCAGGCTCATCTGCCGGGGACGCTGCTTGATAGTCAGGCTGCCCTCCTCGGCAAAGGGGATATTTTCTCCTGAACCGTTCTGTGGGGCACTCCCACTGTGCTCTGCCCGCAGCCGTTCCACAGGGCCGCCGTCTTTGACTGTGTCAGGCTTGATGCTGTCCGAGCGTTCATGTCGAGCAGCTGCCACAAGACCAGTCACAGGGCCACTGATGGTGCGTCGGCGGTTCACCACCTCTCCGTCTGGACCGATGGCCTCTTTATGCTTGACGGTGGCCAGAACAGTTGCAACACGGGCATGTTCCGGACTGGCAGAGCGTACAACCACACCAGGCTGCAAGTAGTACCCGTCAGCCCCCTTTTGCAGGGCAAGAGCCCGTCCCCCTCCACCGATAGATGACATTTCTAACATGGCAGCAATGCTCTTCACGCTCCCAGCACTGCCTGTCTCCACGGTGCCCCCTTCACTCGGCTGTCTCTGGTCCAGCTCTTCTCCCTCCTCTCCCTCTTTGCTAAAATCGTCTGTCATGTTGCTGCTGGAGATGGCAGAGCTGGAGCGCTTGGGCGGTGGTGGCGGAGGACCCTTCTTCTTGGGCCGCACAGCAAAGGACTGACTGCGGTTCACATTCTTGTCAGCACCCGACTGTGCCCTGACAGAGTGGCTGCGGCCAACCCTCCGCTGCACAGTGGCATAGGGCCCGGCATCTGGCACCAGCAGCTCGTCCCGCTCCTGCTCGCTGTCGGACATTGCATAGCGATTCAGACTGTGGGCTCTCTTCTTGGGCCGACCTGCCTCCTCCTCACTCTCTGCAGCCTGTGGTGGCAGGCACAGCACTGGGATGGAGATGGGCAGGACTGGCACACCTTGAGCCAAGGGGCCCACAGCTTGAGCCTCTCCCTCCACAGGTTGCGGCAGGACATAGGCAAAGCCTCGGTGCGTTGGGGACTGAGGCAGTGAGCGAGGGGACATGGGTCGGTCACTCTGCGGCAGCAACTGTGGCGTGGGTTTAACTTTGGCTGTAGCATGGGGCACCCCGAAAGCCTGAGGAGAGGACGGGCGTGGCTTGGTGGGAGTTTGTGGAGGGGTGTAGTGGCCTGCAGCTGGAGGGAAGGATTGCCGTGGTTTCCCAGGCACTGGTGGGACGCTTGCCCTCTTGATGCTGTGGCCATGGCGGAGGCTCCGCACCTCCTTGGGCAGGGTGCCCGGAGGCTCCTTCCCCTCTTCCACTAGGTGCTCCTGGCTTTTGGACGCTGCAGGGCCAGGAGATTTGGGTCCATCTCCCAGCAGCTCCTGGGAGCTACTAATCAGCTTAGCTCTCCCACTCAGGCTGTTCTCGTGGACGAGGCGGGAAGGGTGCCGGTAGACAGTTCCATCCCGGAAGTGCGTCACATGGTTGGCCTGTTTCTCGGGCCCCTCTTCACTGGTGCCTGTCATGGCCACCTGCAGTTCATTGCTCAGATCGCTGTCCTGGAAAGTGGACATCTTGGGGGACTGGCATTCGGATGTTTCCTGCAGAGGAGACTCTATGGCCACCGTGTCCTGTGACTGTGGGGGACCCTTTTTCTTCAGCGTTCCAGATTCATATTTGATATATTCCGCTTTCTGGATCTCTGCCAACTTTTTCACGGCCAGCATCAGCTTCTTCTGGTGGCCTAAGCAGATACGAGAGATCAAAACTGGTTAAAATTCTAGCACAGTCTTTATAAATAAACCTCCAAACCAGTACAATTATGTCTCACTCGGTCTACTGAGCGAGAGCCAGTTTGATGTAGTGGTTAAGGCACGAGTCTAGTCCTGCCTCAGGCACGAAGCTAGCAGGATGACCTTGGGCCAATCACTTTATCACAGCTCTAGGAAGGAGGCAATGACAAACCACTTCTGTAAAATAAAATAAAAACATGGCCAAGCAAAATGCAGGGACCTGTTGAGGCAGCCTCCAAAAATCAGACAGGATTGAAGAGAAAGGGGGGGGGAGATCTATCACTTAGTTCAGCCATTTCACCTGCCAGGTATCCCTTTGGTTCCCCCCAAAATCAACATTTTAACTTAGTTCAGCAGCCCTTGAGCTAGAATCTGCTTTGTCTTATCCTGGGAGGGCACTCTATTTTTCCTGCTCCTTGCTGCTCAATAACCACAGGATGGGCTGTTTGGTTGAATGGCCAGCTGATGCCCAACCTTGCCCAGTATCAATGGTTTCAGTGTGTCTGTAATCTCTCCTCTCCTCTGGCATCTAGATTAGATATGAGGGATGAACACAAACACACACACCCTTCCTTCCTTGCTTCTTCCTCCTCTTTACTGCTCAGAATTTGTACCCCTTCCAACATTTGGAAGAACGCCAAGGAATCTGTAATTCTTAAAGATCAGTGTTCTACTTTTAAAGGTGCAGAAATCTTCATGAGTCTTCTCCCCACCCCCTTCCCAGTTTTCTTTTAAAATAATTTAGTCATTAAAATGGCAGGTGCTGTCCGCTGTGCCACTTGGAAGGAACCTCAGCAAAGAGACTTTTTCCTTGTCTAGTTAGGTCAGGAGTGTTAAATGCGATTTCATTGATGGCCGCATTAGGGTTGTGTTTGACCTTGTGGGCTGGGGTGGATGTGCCAAGAGTGTCTGTGCCAGCTTCAAGTCACTCATGTCAGGGGCGGCTATGGTGACCCGAGCACTCTGCCAGCAAAAACAGGCTCTTGAGCTCCCGTTTTCAGCTGCAATAGCCGCCTGCAACCCTCTGTCAGTGAAAACAGAACTTGGGAGGGCCGCACATAACCCTCTCGAGCTCCGTTTTCGCTGGCAGAGGCACTGTGGGCCGGTCCACTGTTTCCAGAGCAGCCCTGCGAGCCTGATCTAAACCCCTTGCAGGCCAAATCCAGCCCCTGAGCCTTGAGTTTGACACCCCTCAGTTAGGTCATCCGTGTTCAGCATTTGGGAGATGCTTGACTGGCAGGAATGCCAGTTTTGAACCAATACATTACATTGCGTTATATCCCTGCCGTAAAACATTACACTTCTTGTAAGTGCTTCTTCCTAGGTACTCTGCTCTTCTCTATAAGCACCTTCTCTAATCCAACACCAGCTCCATTGCCAAGATATTTGAGGCCCAGTCACAGTATAGGGTGGGCTTTCCCAACCTGGCATCCTCCAGAATAACAGAAGTTGTAACTTCAAGACATCCCGAAGGCACGAGGTTGGGGAAAGTGAGGCAGACCCTATTCTGCCCTCCATCTTAACTCGGAACCCAAACCCCACCATTCATGCATAGAGGTACACAAAGACCCTGTTTTAAGTTTCTAGTTGAGAATGGAGCTGCCTCCATGCTCCCCTCACCCAGTTTGATGATGCCGATCTCCTGCAGATCCTCCCAAGTGATATCGGTGATAAAATCGATGTTCTCGTAGCCATTTTCCACCAGGACTTTATAATACTGTGCCAGACCAATCATGGAGAGCCAGAGAGCCAGGTTTGCCTGGGAAGGACAGAGGATATAATAAGCCAGAATTTCTCAACATTGGTGACTTGAAGAGGTGTGGACTTCAAGTCCCAGAATTCCCCAGCCAGCATGGGATTCTGGGAGTTGAAGTCCACACCTCTTCAAGCCGCCAAGATTGAGAAAGAGTGTAACAAGCCATTTCACAGGGCAAAAGGATGCAGCCCCAGACCACCCCACCAGTGGAGTCCACCCGCCCTCCTAACCATCAGTATCCAATCGGCACCTTCCGTGTTTTCTGTGTAGTTCATGTTTTTTTCCACATTAAACATGCAGTTGTAATCTGAAAAGACTCGGAGGAATTTCTGACCTCTTCCCCATAATTAAAACAGCCTTGAAATGCTACTCTACCCATCGTCAATTAGCAGAACTCCTGGGAGAATTTTCAAATTATGTCTGCTTAATTAAGAGTTTCTGCTGGACTCTTCGAGCCTGTTTATTGCTTTCTGCCAGCTGGGAGGGGAGGAATCGTGGCACTTTGTTCTTCTGCTGCCAAGGAGAATAAAATTTTGGTCCTTGATTTACAACCACAACTGACCCACAAAGTTATGTTGCTAAGTGAGAAATTTTGGTTTTTTCCCCATTTTACATCTTGCCTGGGGACACGGCAGGTGTCATAAATATGAGCCAGTTGGCAAATATCCGAATGTAAATCACCTGACCTTGGGGATGCTGCAATGGTCATAAGTGTAAAAAATGGTAATCTTAAGGTCACCAAATGAACTGTTGTAAGTCGAGGACTACTACGATTCTATGTCACTTTAAAAGAAATGGAAAGTAAAGTAGACAGGTAGACCTTGACTTACGACTGGTCACTTAGCAACCATTTGAAGTCATGACAAACCTCTCTGGGAGTTGTTATATCCCAATTCTGCAGTTCCCATGGCCACCCCACCCCTCCTAGAGTCACATGACCTCATTTTGGGACACTTGGAAACCAGCCCGCATTTTTGACCATTTGCAGCATCCTCTGGTCACATCATCACGTTTTAGGATGGTTTTGCTGAAAAACGGCATTCCGGTTTCTAGCAAAACTGACCCATAGTAAACCATTGGTTCACTTAACAACTGCCGCAAAAAAATCAGGCCAGTCACATGGGTGATCAAGTTTACCAGCCATCATGGTTTGCAATGTTAGGTAGACTCCATTTTGGTCGTAAGGCAAGGTCTACCTGGAAGCCATTCAGGTTTTACTCCCCTACGGAGGGAATCGGGAACTTAAAATGAGGTTCTCCGGGAAGACTGCTGAAGGAGGCTGCTTGTCATTTGTACAGGTGGTCCTCGACTTTCAACCACAATTGAGCCCAACATTCCCATTAGTCAGTGAGACACGAGTTAAGTGAGTTCCCTCCCATTTTACGACCTTTCTTGCCACAATTGCTAAGTGAATCACTGCACTTCTTAGCAATATGGTTGTTAAGTGAATCTGACTTCCCTATTGACTTTCCTGTCAGCAGGTCACAAAAAGGGATCACATGACCTCGGGACACTGCGACTGACATAAATATGAGTCGGTTGCCAAGCATCAGGATTTAGATCATGTGACCACAGGAATGCTGCAATGTTGTGTCAAAAACGTACAAGTCACTATTCTCAGTTTTTGTAACTTTTGAACAGTCACTAAACGAACTGTTATAAGTCGAGGACTACCTGTATTTGTTAAATGGAGGTGACCTGCATGATTCTCACAGAAGAATTCTAGCAATAAAGGAAAGTCTGAAGCATAACATCGCCTTTCCCTAAGTTGAACCAAGGTGTGAATTCTGCTTTTGGATGGTCTGCGGAAAAGCAAAATCCCTGCAGTGCTTCAGAGACCACGCCAGAAGCAGATACAAAATTGTGCAAGTCACCAGCAAATCAACAGTTAAATCTGCTGCTGACATACTCTGGGATTTCTGGACATTTTAAGTTAGTGTCAACCCTGAAGCTGATCTGACCGAAGCCATTTTGAAGCTTCAGTGTTGCCACCCTGGAACTGAGGGATACGGAGTGGGATGGAATAGGAATAGCTGGGGTTTTGTAGCCAAAACAAAATACTTTCTCCTGAGAACCAAGGACAGTCTCACACCTGGTCAGAGAGAGAGGAGGCATGGCATTACCAGGCAACCAGATGGCACTCTGATTGGACCCTGTGGCTGATTGTTTGGGGAACTTTCAATTATGTGAAAACCGTGGGAAACTTCAGAGTTGGTTTTCACCAGAACTGTGTTAATATGATTTATCCGATAAAGCTATTCTTTGAAGAATCCACCTGCCTCAGAGTTTTGTTTGCTATGGGTGTATTACTTGGAACCCTGACAGTTAGGGCTTCCCATCTCAGGGCGATACACCTGGCTTACACCTCCCCAACCCCAAATGCAGCAAGATATGAGGCCGCTCACTGGCTTGTATTCTGGAAGCCATTCGGGAATGTTCAGGTTGTTGATCTCAGAGGCAATCTTCTTTCGGTGTCCTGGCTTGGTAACCCCAATGGCCGTCAGGTCCTACCAAAAATAATGACTCCATCATTCGAGCCCCAGAAAGCAGCAAGCACACATTAAAAACCTCAACACTGTTGAAACTAGGAATCAATACAATATTTGTAGCTCAGGATTGAATTGTGGGGTCCTTGGTGCTCCCTGACCTTGGTTGTTTTCTTGCAGATGTTTCATTACCCAACGAGGTAACATCACTGCTGGAAGACAGGAGGGTATGCTTCTCATATTTTTTTCTTTTATATTAGTGCCTTGCCCTGTCATTGTTGGTGGGAGTGCTCTTGGTGGCTCCTTGATTAGGTTGTTGTTTATTGATTGAGTTGGTAATTCCTTGATTGGAATATTGCTTTTTTATTGTTGGTCTAGTGTTAATCTTAATGATAATCTCTGCTCATCTGGCTGTCGATTGTTGGCAAGAAGGTGTTTTGTTTTTTTTGTTTCCTTTTTGGCTTTTTGATTGTCTCATTTGAATGGTATGTAGATGTTGTTTATCTCTATGTGTATGTTGATGGCGGATTTCTCTGACTGCCAGGTGTTCAGGAATTGTGTAGTGCAGCGGTCCCCAACTTTTCTAGTTTGGCAGACCAATGGGTTTTTTGCCCTCCCCAGCCCCCAGAGGGGATGGATCTGTGTGAGCGGCGGACGTGTGTACAAGCATGTGTAATTCCATTTGCACTAGTATCCGCTGCTTATGCAAATAGAGCCTCGCACATGAGCTGGCACGCCTGCCATTCACGCAATTGGAACTGCAGGTCTGTGCGCGTTCGCTCTCTGCTTGGTGGCCCAGTTCTGAAATGGGCTGCGCCCCGGGGGGGTTGGGGACGCCTGCTCTAGCGTTTTTGGACTAGGTTTGGTCTGGGAATGGCTGTGGAGGCCCAACCACAGAGAAGATTAACTTGCACCATCACATGCAGTAAGGCAAAGTCAAGTTCGCTTCCCGGGATGTCTTGTTTCTTGGTCTTTTCAGGATACTTTTTCACTTCCCAGCCTAGCCAACCACTTTCACACACCTTCATTAGCCCTGAAAGTCATATTTCCAACCTCTGGTGTTGGTTTCCTTATTCTTCACACCCTTGTCCAAATTTGTCACTCCCTCCCTATTTAGGATTACTGTATTTTTCGGAAGTGTAAGACACACCTTTTTCCCTCAAATAAAAGGGTGAAAATCTAGGTGTGTCTTATTCATGGAATACAACATTTTTTGCCTCCTGAAACCCTGCCCCCTTCACAAAAATGGATGTGCGTAGGCTTTGGGAGGCTTGCAAAGTGCTCCTGGGGGCTGGGGAGGGCAAAAACAAGCAAAAAACGGCCCGGTTTTTGCCCTCCCCCCCAGCCCCCAAGAGCACTCTACAAGCCTCCCAAAGCTCTGCATGCCTTTTTTTTTTTGCAAAGAACGGGGAGTGCAGAGAGTGCAAAACATTTTTTTTTAATTTACCTCTTCAAAATCATGGTGCGTCTTATAGTCTGAAAAATACAGTACCATCCAGACTCCCTTGGGTGAGGTGGGCAGCGATAAGTAAATGAAATAAAATCCCCATTTACTTTTTCCAATCTCCTGTCCCTCTTTATTCTCGATCAAGTGTATTCTTGAATACACTAGGCCAGATTTTCCCCTTTCCATTTTTGCTTTAAAAAGGAGCTTTTGTGGGTCTTCTTTGCTTTCAACCTAACAACATGTCTTATTTACATCTTTCAAAATGTTGGTGCTTCATCTTCATGACTCTTTCAGTCTGTTGTTCTTAAAATATATTTACAGTGGTTTAGCTTCTAGCATGGGACACCATGTGGTCTTCCCAGTTCTAAGCCAACCTGATTCTTCTTTGATTCTGATAACAAACAAGCTCAAAGTTATGCGGTGTCCTCTGTCACGTCTTTTCAGGGCCTGGGCCAGCTACTCACTCTCCCACCCATCCGCCCAGAAATGTGATACATTAAGATTATTTGCAGGAGCACCACTTGAGTTGACATCTTCTAGCTGACCACGGTTGATCTTGTGAAAGAGTTAAGAAGAGTTAAATCCAGATGAAGAACAACCAGTCAGTTCTAGAACTACCAGCATGGCTGGGAAGACAAAACACATCGCAGAAAGTGTTGGCAGAGGGCAAAACGCTTCTTGCCAAAAAAAAAAAATCTGCTTGGGTGGATTTTGCAAATTGCCAGGAATGAAGCGGGACTCAAGGAAGATTTTTTTCCCTCCAAGAATGACTCATGTTCTATTTAAGTTTTTAAAAAACAGACTCCTTAAGCTCACTTTGGAGAGGAACAGAAGGTGCCTTAGAAAGGAAATTAAGCCTCTTACAATCTTACCGTGTTTCCCCCAAAATACGACCTATCCAGAAAATAAGCCCTAGCTTGATTTTTACGTTTGCGCCTAATATAAGCCCTGCCCCCAAAATAAGCCTTAGTTAAGACTCTTCCCCCTCTGTCCCACCGTCTGGTTGTACGAGGTGGAACGAGGCGCATGCATAAAAATCAAGCTAGGGCAAGGGTGGAGCTGCCCCACGTACCCCACACCCACTTACCTCAGGGCCTCCCACACCCTGACATCTGCAGCTGCTTGTGGCCAGATGCCGTATGGTACATCACACCGGTGCCACCCCTTGTGGCAGGAGGCCACATGGCATGTCACAACGGTGCTGCCGGTCGTGTGTGCAAGGACACAACAAACCACACGGTCTCCTGCCACAAGCAGTGGCACCGGCACAATGTGGCTTCTGGCCGAAAGCGGCTACAGAAGAAGTCGGAAACCAGTGCGCCTGATGTCAGGGAGTGAGAGATCTGGCTGGGGTGGTATTAAGGTAAGCATGGAAGGCATCTCCTGAGGATAAACGCTGGTGCTTACTTTGGAGCCCAAAAGAAAATAAGACCAAGTCTTATTTTCAGGGAAACATAGGAATAAGTCAGGGAAACATAGGAATAAGTACAGATAGAGGTTTTTCCTATCCAGTCGTGTCCAACTCTAGGGTGCTCATCTCAAGAGCTGGAGCTCATCCCATTGCGCAGTGCTCGGGTCTGAAACCCAGGCTATCATGCTCAGCTTCTTAACCACTAATCTGTTGCACCCCAACAATCATAATAATACCTGCACTCTAAAATGGGGTGGTGGGGCTGTCCTCTTCCTTCCTACAGTTCCAGTGACAGGTATTGGAGCGAGGAGCAAGCGCCAGGTGAGTCATCAAAAATCAAGATGGTGGCATCAAACATTAAAAACAGGTAGAATTTTTATTCTGTCCCTGTGGTCCCCATCCTGCCTTTTTCAAAACCAACCCTTGTGGATACCTGTGCATTAAGAGACCATGCTACTTTCTCTGCCAAACAAATGAGTTTAAAAAGTCTGTGAGGAATAAAATGCATCCAAGAACTGGGTTGGAGATGCTCCCACCCAAGGAGCTGCTGGCTGCGGTCAACACATTTCTATGAGTCGCGTTAGCTTTGCTTTTTAAAAATTTCTCACTTCTAGAGTTTAAAAATAGAGCAGTTCTTTTAAAAAACCAATCAGGAGGCTCCCTCAGCTCCACCAGCCCTTTTCTGAATTGAGCACCAAGCAGCCAACTCCGTAGTCCTCCCCTCTTCCACCTCCCCTACCCCATTTTCCCCAGCAAGAGCCCTCACCTCGGGAGTCATCCGGCTGATCGTGGGAATGTCATAACCAGCGTTGATGAAGTTGGAGGCGTAGAGTTGCAGCTGAAACTTGTACAGCCACTGATAGACGGCCTCTGAGCTCTGGGTGGGAAGAGGGGGTGCAGGGAATTCTTTATAGATATTACGTCTCTTTAGAAAACCCCAAATCACCTGCCTGAATGCCTGAGAGAGGCAGGTTTTGATCCCAGCAGTTCTTTTTTTCTTCTTCCTATGTCGTCTTCCTTCCAGCCTCGTCACTAAGATCCCCATCATTATTTTGGGATCTCTTCCTACCTGCAGAATCTCTCTCCTGGCAAGAAATCAACCCGTTCCTAGCCCTAGCTGCAGTTTTCTCCCCTTCCTTCCTTCCTTTCCACACTTATTCAGTCTGAGGAAGGGGTTTAATGAGCCTGAAAAGGCAACCATTAAAAAAAAAAGTGGGGGGGGGATCTCATACATGGAATCGTATCCTCAGAGCTCATGCCAGCTGGGTCCTTTTCCAGAGCATCTTGACTGCCTCATGAAAAGCAGGGGAAGCCGAGAGAACCAAAGCTGCCAAGCAAAGCCTGCAGCCTACCCCAGATTACCCCCACCACAGGTAAATTGGGGGGGGGGACGCAGCCTAGTTCCTTTGGGGGAAGGGGAAGATAGAAGTGAAGGAAGAGCTGCCCTTCCCCCCCCCCACCGCACACTAACAGCCACAAAGCACCAAAGAAAACACTCTGCATTTGAAAATGCTTTGCATTTGGGGGCTCATCCACATTTCTGCAGCCTAGAGGTGCAGGCTCCCCCCCTCCCCGCCGCCCTTTCCTCTCCTTTACGATAAGTTGGGAAAGTCAGATTGTACACAGAAGGGCACCAAACTCAATTCCTGAGCCACGTCCTGTCTCTGAACTCTCCCAGGCCACCTTTGTGCCAGCTCCTTTCTCCAGGTTTTATTCGGAATTCCAAAATGAAGGAGACTTGTGGCGGGAAGTGGTGGTGGTGGAGAACAAGGGACAAAATGGGTGCTTCGTCTGTCCCTAAAAACACTCCCGGCCTCCCTCAGAAGCCCAACCAAACAGAGAAAATTACAGCTCCTCTCCCCCACCCCCCGCCCAGGGAATGCCATGGGCTGCAGGGAGCCTCCGGGCACTCTTGTCCAGCTCTGTCCTGCTCCACCCGCTTTGGAAGCTGCTCGGGGGGTGCCCAAACTTGCCTTTCCCTCAGACTGCGGCTCCACCTTCTTGACCTGCTGCTCCCCATATGGCTGGGTGGGGTATGGTGCGCTGCCCAATCCTGGCGTCCGGGAAGAACCTGTCACAGAGCAGGCAGGAATTCTCAGCACAGCAGAACCTTGGGAGGCGCTCCCTGTGCAAAGGAGGCCCTGGGGACCCCCGTGAGCACATTCCCTGGCAGGACAAGATGGCCGGCCACAGGACATTGGGAGGAATGGACTAGCGTGCCGGTGCCACAGCACAGGGGGCTTGTCTGGGTGTGGGTGGCTGTCAGCCTCTAACCCCTGGAGCTGTGCAGGTGCTCTGTTTCCTTTCAAGCCAGAGAAGTCGGGAGGCCCAGCCTCACTCGGGCAGCACCTTCCTCCCACCAAACAGGTGGCAGAAGATGAAGATGTCAGCCAAGGTGACCTTGATGTCCCCAAGCCATGTTCTGTCGTCAAACCCTCAACAAGGACAACAACACTCCCAGTCCAGCTAACATGCAAGGCCTCCGGCTGGACCCAAGGGCTACCAAGACTTCCGGCATCAGACTGGAAACCACCCCTTGAACCTCGGGAGACCATGAGTGGGCCCAGAGCTTTCCAGCTTTGGGACTCCAGAGAAGGACAGCTCCAAAATTAAAAGCTGCTTCACAGAAAACACAGAGCCCCCCCCCCTCCCCCCGGGCAGATCCACAATCAGGCCAGCATCTTGGAAGAACAATCCTGAACACAGATCAGAGCAGCCTGGTGGCTGCCTTCCGCCCCTCACTCCCAATTTAAAAAGCCCTTCCCCAAGTGAAGGTCTAGACACTTGAGACCCAGGATCTCAAGAGGGAGGGCACCGCAGAAAGCAGCCCTTGCTGACCCCCCTCCCTTTTGCCCCCTCCTGCCACCCAGTAGCTCTTGAAACGCTCCATCGAGGGGTTGAGCGAGGAGTAGAGCAGCGATGCATTTGGGTGGGTGGGGGTGAGAAACAACGCTCCCAACCCAACCGAAGGGGGTAGCAACACCAAGGTGGGAGACAGACTATCCTGCGATCAACAGCGTTCTTCGCACAGAAGGCAGCTTGCATGCTCAACAGAGGCAGGGGGGCTGTCTTGTTTTCCCTTGGCTGTCCTGCCCTCCCCCCAGCGCTCCCCACTAACCGAAGCAAGCGAAGGGCTGGCAGCAGCAGCAGAAGGAGAGGGTCATGTTCTCCAGGAGAAGCCGCTGGTCCTGGGAATAAGAAACACTCCCGTGGGGGGACAGAGGGACCAGCTGTCCTCCGGAGCATCCACGCACCTGCGGGTGACTCCACTGCCTTGGCAGGCCCGTCGCTCACAGCAGATTCTTGCACAGACGCCTTCTGGGAAAGGACAGTTGCCAGCAGCTGAGAGAAATTGGGGGAGGAACAGCAAGAAAGCGTTAACCAGAAAAAAGAGCGGCAGGCAAGGAGGACTGGCCGGGGGGGTGGCGGGGGAGAAGAGAAAAACAGGGTCTCAGGAAGCCTGGAACCAACCGAGGGAGAATCAGGTGCTTTTCTCCCAGAAATGTGACTCAGTTGGCAAAAGTGGCAAGCTGCAGCATGGAGAACAAACGGGTGGCACAATGGCGCTGCCTGCTTGGCATTCGTGGCTGCAGCCGAGCCAGCTCGAAAAGAGAATTCTGGTGCAAGCAGGCTGCAAAAAGGGCGATTTGGGAGCTAGCAGCCTGCCCCTCCTCCTCCTGGCCCAGTTTCCCCAGGGAAGGAAGGAGCCCCTTAGGGTCACTGGCCAAATGCATGGCATCGGAAAGGGCGAGCGATCCAATCTGAAGCCACAAGGGGGCAGTAGAAGACCGAGCAATGTCAGAGATGGGCAGCTACTTGTTTGTTTTGGGTGGTAAAATTTATTGGCTGCCCATCTAACCACAGGGTGCCCACGCTCAGTCTTAAAAAGATTAAAAATATACCACTAGACAAGGGCCATTGGGCGAGACTTGCACCAGGCAATGGGCTGGAGCTCCCGATTTAGCTCCTCTGGGAAGCAGGGATTCGGGCTTACCTTCACGCCTTCTGAGCCAGGGTGAAGGGCCCCATGGCCTCCGCTTCCAGTGCTCTGTCCACTGCCTGAGCTCCGTCCACTGGTGATGCTTCCAGTGCTGCCCACGCTGCTGCGGTCGCCTCCTAGCGACGGGAGGGGGAGGGAAAGACAGTTGGCAGGATAAAGGACAGCTCCGTCCTACGATGGGCAGTTTTGCTCAGGACTGCCATCCCCCACACCCCAACCAAGGACCGGACGGGATCCCATGTGTCTGTTTTCTGGCCACCAATATCCTGCTGCTGAAATTCAGGCAAGCAGCAGAGGACAGGTCAAATGGCCGTCCACCCAAAACAAGCAAATGGACCGGGGGGGGGGGGATTCCCTGTTCAGAAAATCCCATTAAACCCAAAATTCTCTGAGGGTCTTGAAGCCTTAAATGTCTCAAGGGGGAAATCCTTATCCTTATTTACTGCAGGATATCTTAAAATGTTTCTGTAAAGCTCCTTTAACAGATTAACAGACTTGGAAGGGACTTGGAAGGTCATCTAGTCCAACCTCCCTCCCAAGCAGGAGATCCTATATCATTTCTGACAGATGGCAGTTCAGTCTCTTCTTGAAAGTCTCCAGTGATGAAGCTCCCACAACTTCTGAAGGAAACTTCTGTTCCACGGGTTGATTGTTCTCACTGTCGAGAAATTCCTCCTTATTTCCAAGTTGAATCTCTCCTTGATCAGTTTCTGTCCATTATTCCTTCTCTGGCCTTCAGGTGCTTTAGAGAATAGCTTGACCCCCTCCTCTCTGTGGCAGCCCCTCAAATATTGGAAGACTGCGATCCTATCTCCCCTGGTCCTTCTCTTCACTA